CTTGACATATTCTTCAAACGACGAAGAAGAAAAGCTTAAAAGCAGGTGATTAGTAAATTGGGGATAAAACACAATCCAAACAGGGGAATACAGATAAGAGCTTTAATTAATTGAACCGTAAAAAAAAAATACAGATTAAACAAACAAAGTGAATGAAAATCAAATCACGCACCCTTTTCTTCGGAGTTCCTCTGCACTTGGATTTATCGTCGGACTCACTCGGGGAGAAAGACAGCGGCGTGGTGGGGCTGCCGCTGCCGCTGCCGCCGCCGATGCTCTTCCCCACCGCCGCCTCGATTCGCGGCCTCTTCTCCTTGATTTCGAGTCCCAGCGACGGATTCTCGTCCAGGCAAGATCTCCTCCTCCGGCGACCCCAACTGAAATTCGCCAGGGATTCGGTTAACGAGAGAAGCGTTTTGAGATCGAGCAGGACTTGGGCGACGGCGATTTCATCCTCCGTGGCGGAAGCTAGCAAGGAGATTTGGATAATTCTACTTTTGCTCTGCTCCATTGTGGTTTGTTTGTGTGCGTGTATTTTCTTCTATCTCCTGCTCTCTGATTTTTTTTATTTTTTTAATCTTATATTTTGTGATAAGGGGAAAAATGGCAAATGGTTGGGTTTTTGTAGGTAGAGAGAGAGAGAGAGAGAGAGAAGAGGGCGAGATGCTTGAGTTGGAGTCTTTGAGGCATTTTTGTTTTATTTTACTATATTTTGTTTTTATTATGGAGAAATTAATGGGGTAGAGGGGGAGTGGCTGACGCCACGTGTCGGTCGAGTAGAGATGAAGGGTAAGCTAGGGTTTATGCAATGGTTTGCCTTTGGTCTTTTTAGAGGAGGTTTGGGGGCATGGCGCGTGGCTGCGTGTACCGTGTTAAACCAATGAATTCGATAATGTTCAATATGCACAATGCAAATTAAATTTCATATGTTGTGTGTGTGATATCACAGTTTATAAATTTTATCAATAGTAAAAAATAAACTATATAAATATAAATTATTTACTTATATGTTGATTTTTATATTAATCACAATTATATAGTTTTTGCAATTTTGCTGATTATGACTGATTAATTAAATAAAATAATATTAATATTATTATTATAATAATTGCATATAGAGTTTTAAGGGGTTTTATTATGAAATAAAAAGAATAACTAGGAATTTTAATAGATGGACATTAAAAAAATAATAATAATAATAACTTAAATAAATAGTTTAGAAAAAGTTTTAGAATAAAATATCATTTAATGTGATTTTATGATTAGTTAGCAGTAGCTATTATGTAATAAAATAACGAAAAAAAACAATTATCATAATTTTTTGTCAATAATTTTATACATACAATTTTTTTAAAATAAAGGAAAATGAAATATGCGAATAAAAAATAAAGAAAAATCTTTTTAAAAACCTTACAACCTAATTGTCATTGATATTAAATTTTAGGCTAAAATTATGGTGCCAAATGATCACTTATTCATGATTTATTTTGCCAAATTAAAAAATGAATGTTAAAAAAGGTGCAATAACGAAGGTGGAAATAAGAAACTAAATTTGCTAATGCTGTAACATATTATTTAAATATGAAATCAGTAATAATAATAAAAAAAAAAGACTATATGCGCATATATATTAAAATAATGTTAAAAAATACAGTAAAACTGATTTATCACAAGTAAATAAATTTTGGGTGCAAATGAAAATGCCAATTGATTACTTATTTTGGTTTTTATTTTGCCGAATATGACATTAAAATATGTGCAACAAGTGGACAATATGAATTCCCAATAAAATAAAAATAAGAAGAATTTACACCTCATACTATCCTATTTAATTTATATAACACTTTTGTTACCTTTTTATTTTTATTTTTAAACTAGCCTAAAGATCCACAAAATATTGCAAATATACCTGGTGAGATTTACTTACCAAATAAATCGGTTGACTTAATTATCTCTCTCTCTAAAAACACTCACGCTCACCATCTCTCTCGCTCTCATCCTCTTCCCTCTCTCTTTTTCTCTCTTCTCCAAAGCACCAGACTGTATATGGCAACGCCCGTGCCCCTCTCTCCTCCGGCGACCGAACAAGAAAACTCATCGGAACCCTAAAACCCTAAACTATCCAGTTAGAATCACTGGAGATCAGCGAAAATGGTGCTCGCGCAGTTAGGAGATACCATCACGCAAGTCGGGCTCCGACATATGCTCGTTTTGCCGAAATACCAGGCTGCAGGGGTGAGTTCAAGATCTGATACATGCTGTGTTGTGGTATATGTACAATATATGTCAATTATATATATAATTGATTGTGATATCAGAATATATGTCCTCTTTTTTGGGTATATTTTGCGTAGAAAAACAATAAATTCATGTACGTTTCATTGAACGTTAAAATCAATACAAAAAACATAAACAAATAATCGACCTGTCAACTTTTTGTGTGGTATATTTGCGTAACTTTTCTTAAGAAGCGCCTCAATCGTTTGTGTTGTGTTTTGGTATATCTATAGTATATTATCAGTATATGTACAGTATATGTGAAATTTATATATATAGTCGACTGTAATATATATACTGCGATTTTGTAATTTTCCCCCAATTTTTGCTCTCACGCAGACGATGTTCGACCTGATCGATTTCAGCACGTTCTTCTCTCCAATCGCCATCTAAAAATGGGCGACGCAAACCACCATCGCCAACGACGATCCCATCATCACATCCGTCGTAGATCGGACAACGAAACTTCAGTCGAGGGCGGTAAATCCTAGCCACCAATTCATTCACTGATTTCTCGCCATCTCTACGGAGGTCGTGGAGGTGCGCGACGGTGTTGAGGAGAAAGGAACTGGAAGCGGGGTGGGGGCATCCATGGCGGCAGAAGATAAAGATTGGACTGTAAGATTTTTTTTTTTTAATTACGAACGGAAATCACGCCCAAGAAAAGTAACAGACTTTAGGCATTAGTTTAATTTAATGTCATCTTTTAGGTATATACACAATTATTTATTTTTGGATGATATATGTGTAATATTTTCACAATCACATAGGACAACTGAAAATTTCCCTAAAAATAAAAGTTGTTGTGTATGTTGTGTGCGCATCCCGGGCAAGCCCACTTAACTAGAGGATTAAATAAGCTCAAATAAAATGTACGGACCTCTACCGAATCAGCACAAGGCGCGAAGGGTGGGTTTGTTGATATAAGATGACAGTACAGTATTGTTATGGAGAATTTACACTCCTGCTTTAATGAATTGCTTTTATTTGCATATGTACCAAATATAAAATTTAATTTCATTTATACCTAACTTAATCAAATTATTAATATACGTACAATATAATTAACAACAGATTAAGTCATAATGACTTACCATAACAGATCCCCGTCACTGACGGGATGCATGTCTGGAGAGAGAAACATTTTATGTCGGCAATTTTTATCCCAGTCTTTATTTATGTCGGATATATACATGACATTTACATTTTTATATACATACGAAAAAATATAAATAGTATATATACGAAAAATATACAGTATATATACTTGCAACTACACAAACAACAAAAAAAGTATAAATATACAACACATATAAAGCATATATATACAAAATATATACATAAGATATACATCAAACACAATCAATGCGCCGACCCAAACAGAAACACTGTGTGGTCAGTCAGTGCTCAACACAATCAACAAAAATATACACACAATCAGGGCTCGACCCTCCGCCGTCGGTGCCCAACAAATCGAGTTCTCCTTTTATCAATCTAATGCCCGACGATGGCCCCACCCAGGCGAGCATGGCACGGCGGCGCTACAACCCTCAAGCGATGGCAGAGTGGGGTGGGAAGCACTTCTCCAACCTCGGCCAAGGCCTAGCCGGGCAGGCGCGGCCACCGGAAGGAGAAGGGGGCTAGATCTGGNNNNAGTGAATATGCAGAGGAGAGAGAGAGAGAGGACCGCCGAATTGATTCTTAAAGAGTCCAACAAAATTGATTTTTTCTTTCAAAAGGTAGCTCAGAAAGCGGAAGTGAGAGAGAAAGAGTGCAGTTGTGATGGAAATTAAATGTAATTAGTAATTAGTAGTCAAACAATCGTAGGTTTGTAATTAAAAGTAGAGAGTGGTAAATTTTAAATAAAAACATTAACATATCGTGAGGAAAGCAATTTTCTCTTTTGTTAATCCCTAGTTGTTGATCACTCTACAATATATGCACGCTCACTGACAAACCAAACTCGTAAAATTGCTGAAGACGGAGAAACCACCTCCCAAAAGGTATTATCTCGCCGCCAAATCGGTCATCTCTTGTTGCCTTGAAGAGAATACGTCTCGTTCTCAAAAGAAGAAATTCTGCATGGAAACCATATGTCACTTACCTAGCCATCAAGGTGGAAATCAATTATAATTTCAACTCGCCTTTTTCTGCATATAAATGAGGCATCTAGCACCTCATATACAGATACGACAGACAAACAAAACAAACACTAGAAATACAACAATACTAGAATATACAATAGTTCAACCAAGAGCCATCTTTGTAACAAAATACTCTTTTCTAGTCTTATTTTTTTAAAAAAAACATTCTCCTCGCCGATCACCCAACCGATCGGCGAAATCATGTGTTTTGTCTATTTTTTTTGTTTACACACCTTAACATAGCTCAAATCATGTGGTTTTTCATAAAATCAACTCTTAGTTCCTCTTAGTCCCGTCATTAAGAGTCGTTGACAATCGCTGGTCAACAAATTGGCGCTAGAATTAAGGAGGGCCTGCTTGATTTCTTCGGTGAATCTACCTTGTCATAATCAGACTTACAGATGTATAACTCTAATCACACTCCAAACCAACCTAAGGACAATACTCCTCATCCTGATGTTATCGACATCTTCCAAAATCCCGCTTTTGTCAAAGGCCTTACTGACAATTTCTCTCAAATCCTACACAATAATCCTCTTGAAAAACCTCACACTCCTCATCAAAATCTTGATCAAAATCATAATTTCCTATCTCACGAGGTCCAATCCCATGAGAGACTAGGGGTCCTTGATAAAGGTAAAGAGAAACAGTGTCCTGACCATCCTAATCCCTCAAAGGACCGCGAAAGCATGAGCGATAGCCAGGCCCACATGAGTTCAAATGTCTGATCGATATTCAACCGATTGGGCAATAAACCTGAAGATCTTTGTAAGCAAATTACCAAGAAGATCCACAGAAAAGAAGTCAAAGAGATCACCTCACTCAAAAGATGGATTGTCAAACTCAAAGCTTTGCAAACACAGGAAACGACCAATCGGGTTACCTCTAACCCCCTTTCGTCCTCAGAAGGTGCCTCTTCAGGTCATACTTCACCACTTTCTTCTCATATATTGACAGAGGTCCTTTCCAGAAAAATCAAGGTGCCCCAGATAGGCATATACCACGACAATACCGGTCAACTCTGGAAGTTAACGGTCAATGGTCAAATGGTCAAAATATATTTAAATGATTAAAATTAAAAATTAAAGAATTATTATTTGAATATAGAATTAAATCTTGACCACACATCTTGATATCTATCTAGTGGTTAGGATTCCTAGGTCTCACATACTCATTTTAAGAATGTGTCCTCATTTGATCCAATCCCTAGGAATACGCTCCGATGAGAATGATGCTTAGTGAAAGAAATAAGAATAAATTTTAGCCATCAGATCAGATGATCTAACGGTAGCAAAAAAATTAGCATTTATATATCTATTAAAGTATTTTGAATATTTTATTATCAAATTTTGGGACTCATACCGAATACCCACTCACCCACACCCAATAATTACATGCCATGTGGCAACATCATTCTCACATTCTCCTTCTCTCACACACACACACACTGCCACTCACACATAGACATTCTGTACACACACAAGACACACACACACACACACATAAACACAGAGTACACACATCACTCATACACGCACACACGCATACACGCACACATGCACACACTGATACATGCAGACACACACACAAACACAACACATATCAGTTAAAAACAGATAAAATCGTAAAATCGATAACGATTAGTGCCAAGCGGTTCAATTGTGGACTTTGTGTAGAAGTAGTTGTAGAATCACTTAAATAGTTGAATTGTTTGCATAGTGTTTTCAATGTGGGATGTTCACAAATAAAGGCTTGTTGAGTTATTGAGCCCTTGTTACTTATTGGGCCTTATTGGTTATTGGTAATAAGCCTTTGCTTGTAATCTTACTGTCCTATGCATAGTATGTGATATTACCAGTCCAATTGATAATACCACTGGTATTAGTGCTGTTGACAACCGACTTGATCAGCCGAACTTAAATACGCTAAAGTGGAGAAGATGACCGACAGACTCGGCATAAAAGCCGAACTCCGCATGAATCGGACAGGAAACCGACCTCATCCCCAGAACAATAACCAACCTCCAGGAGAAACCGAGATCTATTTCCAAGATCGAGGTTCAAATCGGTGGTGACAAGGCGCCTACGCATCTAACTGTCTGAACCGCCTATCACACGTACCTCAATCATATCTTGTGGGCCCGTCTCCAGAGTAACCGCCCTCATAAAGTCACTTTGCAGTAAATGCTGCCGTACCAATATCGAGTTAAAAGTTACTATAAATAGCAGAATTAACTCTTGTACGAGTATCCATTTTTCGAACATTAAATTCAAGCATAAAGAGCAACTCGGTTTCGCTATAAAATGACTTCCTGTATCAAACATTTATAATAATACAAAACCCACTTGAATCCATTGCATTTTGCACTCTAACATCACGTTAATACCGTTGTTATTTCCATATAACAACAACCGCAAGAACAAATTTAAGAGGTATAAATATGTATCGAATAAAAAGAAAAAATATGAGTGATTATATTCACCAAGTAAAAACTAACGTTTACTTTTCTTTCTTTTTTTTTTGTTTCAAAAAATATTTTTTACTTTTATTTTTTGAATACAATATTTTGGTATTTATTTTTTATTTATTGACCGGTTGAATACATTATTTTAATCCATGGTCAAGCCTATTAATAGGTTTTGTTCTTATTTTTACTTTATTTTCATGATTTGGAGATTAATATTCGAATATGCTCATAATTTTCTTATCTTTGTGTATTTCGACATGATTTTTAGCTTTAAATCACTTTAAGGTTGCAAAGTGTAATTTTTCTATGGAATCTAGTTTAAATCAACACATTGTATTAGCTAGCTTCACAAAGTATATCGTTAACAACTCAATCACATACTGGAATTCGTCCAGTGTACACTAATCAAACAAAACTTAGACGAATCAAGATTCTGAATACTAACATTAATCACAAATTCATACCTTCAAAGTCCAAACTCAGACCCAGCTTCAGAAAAGGAAAAAAAGGGGGACATAAATGCAAGAAAAACACCAGGAACAGGAAAAGATCAATAAATAAACGTCGTTCAACTAAAGATTTAACTCTACTAAACTTAGTTTTACGTCTCAAAAACTCCAGCAGACAAGAGAACAAACTTAATAACCAACAAAAACCACATACTTAGAAAACATGCAGCTAAGACATCCTCCTCTTTTTCGAGCTTTTTGTATCAACAAAGTCATCATCCGTATCCTCATCTGATGACTCATCATCCTTGCTCTTACGTTTTTTGGATGGCTGAGATTTTGCTTTGGAAGGAGGTGTCTTTTTTTTCTGTGTGGTAGAAACTGGGGAATTTGCTGACTTCTTCACAACAGTGGTGGAGTCGGATTTTTTCTTGACGGTAACAACAGTTTTCATGGGCGAGCTCAGCCGTTGCTCCTTTGCTTTTTTGACTTTCCTATCCAAGACTTTTTTGGCCACGTCTTTTGGAAGCAAACCGGACTCCATCATCCTGCAGTTGACATTTAGGGGAAAAAAAAACAGGGAGATTTGCATCAGAGATAATAACAGTTGCAGTCCCTGAGATTGGTCATATTGCAAAAATAATCAATCGTTTTTTCTGTGTGTTTTTCATTTTTCAAATTTTTGGTGTGTATGTATTTAACCAATTACCGTAACACTAACAACATCAGATGCGGAAACTAAGAGAAGAATACAGGATCTATAGAAGTTCAGCATTGTAAATATTTTACCTCGTGAATTTATAACGACAGATTACGTTGTGATATCTATGAAACTTTAGCTGTCATGAATTAATCTCTTAAAGCTGTATTTGTCCCAGCACATGTTTCTCATGGACAGTGAACAAGCATTTATTTTTACAAGCAGGAAGTGTGAAATATAAGCAAAATTTGAAATGAAAACGCCTCAACTTATCGAGTTTGCATTAAATATCAGCAAAAGGCAATGTAATGAGGTAAAATCATCTGTTTTGTTATTTTCTTTTGTCAACTACATGACTACACACTCATAACTCATAGATTTTCACCCTTTATGTTATTGTATACATGCACTTAATTCAGAGCACATTGCAAATGAGAAACGTATTTTTCCAGACCGATATTACTATGAAAGACAAAAGGAAACAAAAGATTTAATACAAGCATAGCCCCAAACCGTCACGTGTGAGACAAAAACAAATACTATACACAAAATTAAAAAGGTAAGGCATAAACAAACACCAAAGTTTATAAAAAGAAGAGGAAAACCTAACCAAAGGAAAATGAACAAAAAACGAGAGAAAAAAAATGGAAACCTACAGAAAGGCAGAAAATCGTCACTAAGCAATGTTTCAAGAAAGATGAAAACTTCCTAGTTTAGATTCCATTTCTTACCTATTCACCAGAACAAAAGTACAGCCACATCTCTTGTTTGTCAAAAAAGGAGCAATGATTAACTTAATCAAACACTGGACATAATATGAACAGTTAAACACTAACGACAATTTCGTCAAGTATGTACAGCAAAGAACATAGCAACTTTCACTTTGATGTTCAGATAATAACATAAAGTATACTTAAGTAAGGGCATGAGGATAAAAAGTGCTGACCATATCGCAGCCATCTCACTATCAGGCACTTGCTTGTAAAGTGACTCGTAGAAAATCCTCAATGGGTCTCTCTGTAAAACCCCAATTCAATACACATTGTCAATCTTACTTAGAAAACAAATCCAAGAAAAAAAAATGAAAGAAAACAAGAAGCAGCAAAGCTTACAGCCTCAGGAGTATCCCTCTTTTGACCTGGTAAATCAAACACCTTTCTCTCTCTTTTTTGAACAGTCTTATTCTCACCAGCTTTACCTCTTTTCTTCGTTATTTTCTGCGGCTTTTCTTCTTCTTCCTCCCCCTCTTCTTCCTTCTTGGCCTTCTTCTTCATCTCCTTAACCTAAAACCCAACAAAAATTAACTGGAAAAATTCATGCAAACCAAATAAAACACAAAATACGCAAATTACGGTAAGCGAACATCTAAGGGAAACTCCCAAAAAATTTTCAAATTTCTGACCTTAGTGTCGGCCTTTATGGGCGCCTTCTTCGAAGAGGGTTTCTCGAAATCTTCATCTTCCTCCTCTTTTTTCACGTTTTTCCCTTCCTTCCTACCCTTAGCCGGCGATTTCGAGGCGGCATTGCTATTTTTGGGTGATTTGTTCTTGCGCTTCGCGAGCGACGCTATGCACAGGTCGTCGTCGTCTACCTCCTCTTCGGAATCCTCTTTCTTCACGTTTTTCGCTTCGGTTTTAGGCATTTTCTCGAGGAATAAAACTGAGTAAAAGGATTTGAAAATGAATTGACGGTTGATTTTGTGAAGAAAGCTTTGGAGGTGACAGTGAAGACGGAGACGGAATGAAGGGTTGTTCTGATTTCTTTCAACTACGTTTATTTTTAAGTTCAGTCCTACTAATTTCTGGGTCCAGCTCTAATATATTGGGCTTAAAGCACATAAAAGATACGTTTCCAACTGCAACTAATTGAAGCCCCATTTGTTGGTTCGTTGGGCTTAGACCATCTTTATCAACAACGCAACCCACACAACTTAATAATTAAAAAGTATTTTTCTCTTCTCTACCTACACATCTCAACCTTTAACTCAAACTATTTTTATCCCAAACTCAATCCAACTTAAAATATTTATTTAATTTTATTTATTTAAAAAGTAAAATTGTATCCCAAAGCCTATCAAAATGTGATCTCTATTTATAGAGCATGAAAAATTACAAATTTAAGTATTTTTATTTTTTTTAATACAAAAAGATACACTTGTCCAATAAAAATGAAATAAGTGTCTCATTCCTAACCAGCAATTAGGTGGCAACCAAAGGTCATACTGTGACCTAGGTGGCAACATTTTATGACCTTTTGCTTTTTTTTTTTCCCTTTTATCTCGATGACCAAAAAGTTGGGTCATGGATAAACATGGTTTTATGTTCAGATAATTCTAGAAAATGGGTTCTTAATTTGAATGAGAAAACTTACATATCTAGACAATGGGTTCTTAATTTGAATGAGAAAACTTACACTCTTTACGTACAAATATCATTTTACTTGTGCAATTATAAATGTTTTATTAAAAAGATACTGAATTTTACCATTTATGAGTGATTGATTTCTTATTTATTTTTATAATTTCGGACCGAGAAAGCGGAACTGCCTGACGTTGCATATTCGAACTCATTAAAACCCTATTCGCGCGAGTTCTTCCTTTTGTGAAAAAGCAAAATAAGAAAGTTGGTTAGCATACATATCTTTTGTGTAGATAGATGAATATGTGTAGATAGATAAATAAGTCCATTTATTTAATTCTAGGACTTATTTTATTTTTATATATTCACTTAGACATGTAGATATTTCTATATATTATTATTATATATAAATATATCATTATTATAATATCTAATATGTATATCTAATCTAATAAGTAATAAATTTCAAATTGAATTAATTGATAATAACTACGAATTTAGAATAATGACCATTTTATTTTATTTATAGTTAATATAAATAGAAAAAATGAAATTTAATAAAAAACAAGTGTAATGTAATTGTAATATAATAAATCGAGGTATCTCTTCTATGACAACTTTCTTTTCAAATTGCATTGTTTTTTAGATTATGACCCATTTGTAAATGATTTACGTGTGATTTATTTTAAATATTATATTTTGAGTAAAAAGTTTCATATAATGTAGTAAACATGTAAAAAGGTCTTATTTAATGGCTCATTTACAAACATACTCTATAATTTGAAAAAAAATTGCACAAATGCAACACAATTAATTTTATTAGCATTATTCTAACTTTGTACATACCAAATAATTATGAATATGCCTAATATCAGTTACCCAAAAAAAAAAAACACATGTATGTTTCTTAATTTACGCAATTAAATGTTTATCTCTAATCCTTAATTAATTTACCGTAATTGAAAAAAGCATCCTAACAACTCTCTCTCTCTCTCTCTAAAAGGACGGCGGACTCCTGGCCATCGTCGAAGAGGTTTTCAGAGAGGTTGGTGGAGGGGTCGGGGTCGAGGTATCCGATCCGGTGGAAGTAGGACTTTGAGCCGATCCATGCAGCTAATGAGTTTGGCGGAGGCGAGAGGTGGTAGGAAGGTATGGTGGTGATGTATAGGTAGAAATTGGTTGGGATGGAGCAGATAAATGTTCTATAAATAAAAACTCAACATATGCTGAAAAATACTAACTGTTAAAGCAACATTTGATGAAAACTTCTACGACTTCACTTCGCTTCGCTTCGTTTGTACCTTCTACCGTCCTCTCATTTTCTATAGTATGGTAAAGCCTTTGCATCGTATCCCTCTCTAGAAAAATTATTCTTATATTTTGAAATGGAAAAAAGAGAAAATGAAGGAATACCCCTTTGAAAAAGGGTAGGGGAAGTGATTGAAGCAATGTGGCGTGAGAGCCATCGATCTGAGTGAGATCAACTTGAAGAAAAAAAAAAGTACATGGAAGAATTCGAGGCGTCTTCTCACAATTACATGACTCGAGGTGCATGAAATAAGGCGCATGGAATATGAAATGATAGTGACAAAAAATGGAATGAGAGCTATTAGAGCATCTCCAATGGTAATTGAATTGTTCTATATATTTTGTTGTCACGTGTCACAAACAATTTTATTTGACAAAATGTCTAGAAGTCTTTCTAGATGTAGAACTCATTCTAAACAACTTTTAGTATGCATTATATATTATTTATTTAATTTATTTCTCTTCTCAATCCAATTACAATTTTTATTAGAATATTAATAATAAATTAGTTAATAATCAGTTGATTAGTTAGCATGGCTGTTAGGTTAGTTTTGCCAGCTCACAATAACAGCTGTCAGCTAAGGGTTTTATATCCCTATACTTTTGTATAATTCATCATGAACTTCATATGAAATAATATCTTCTTCATTCTAGCTTCTCTCTATATCTAACATGGTATCATGAGCTTGCAATTTTTCGATCCTTGATTTTTTTGCCATGGCTGAGCTTCGCGTCTCACCGCCGGCACCATCTAGTATTCCTCACCTTGTTCCACTTCCCCTTCGGCTGGATCGCTCTAAAATTTCCTATTGGAAATTGCAGATCCTATCTACAGTTCGAGCCCATGGTCTTTACAATTATCTTCTTAATCCTTCATCGCCGACAAAGTTTCTTCCTGCCGTTATAGATTCTTCTGCTCCGGCGCTCAATCCAATTTTCATTCTATGGATGCGGACTGATCAACTAATTCTTAGATGGATGCTTGCTTCTATGTCTGAGTCGATGCTAGGTCATGTTACGCGTTGCTCTTCTTCGGCATAGGTTTGGTTGATTCTCTTGCAGCTTTTTCATACTCAATTGAAAGCTCGTGTTCTACATCTTAAGTTTCAACTTCAAACCCTAAAAAAAGGAGATTTATCTGTTGATTAGTACATCTTAAGATGCGCAGTTTGGCTGATGAATTACACTCTCTTGGGCATCATATTACCGACGATGAATTAACTATGTATGTACTTAGTGGATTAGGTTCTGATTATGATCAGACTGTGGTTGTGAACCTTTCCTCTCGTCTAGATTCAATCTCCTTGCCTGAGGTGCAATTTTCTTTACAAACTCATGAGATGCACTTATCTAGTAAAGTTTTTTCTTCTCCACTTGCATTTCCTGCCACTACCACTATGACTGAATACACATTCTGCAAATGTTGTCCAATCTCGTGGTGGTTTTGCTTCCTTTCGTGGTAATTACAGGGGCCGTGGTCACTCTTCACGTGGTCGTGGTGGTCGTCTCTTTAGAAACAATGACAAAGTGGTGTGTCAACTATGTGGTAAGGCCAATCATTTTGCCTTAAAGTGCTACAAACGCTTCGACATAAGCTTTACTAGTCAGGACACCTCTACATAAGCTCATCAGGCCCACTTGGAGAGAATTGTGTTCCTCAAGCTCTTGTTGCAGATGTTCATGCTTCTTCTTTTCTCTCATGCCTCTGATCCGAACTGGTATTTTTACAGTGGGGCCACTAATCATCTGATAGCAAACCTTGAGAACTTATCACTTCAAGCTGCTCCATATCAAGGTAATGACAAGGTTCTGGTTAGAAACAGTTCTAAGCTTCACATATATCACACTGGTTCTTCTTCCCTCTCCTCTACTCAAAACTTTCCTATTCTGTTAAACAACATTCTTCTTGTACCAAATATCACCAAGAATCTCCTTAGCATCTCTCAACTCACCAAAGACAATAACATCCTTATTGAATTCCACTCTTATTTTTGTCTTGTGAAGGACAAGATCACTCATAAAGTGCTGCTGGAAGGAATGCTTAAGGATGGTCTCTACCAGCTAGACATATCTAATTGTGCCTTATTCCTTCATCAAATTTCATCCTCCTCACCTGCTCCTGCTCTTTGCAGTTTTAGCACTTCTGTTCAAAAAGTTGCTAATGTAATAAATAATAATGATCTTTCATGTCGGCATAGAAAACTTGGTCATCCATGTCCTAATGTGTTTAGTAGAGTTATGAATAGTATTAACATCTCTGTACCTTCTTCTTTACCTTTTTGTGATGCTTGTAAGTTGGGAAATCTACATCAGCTACATTTTACTTCTCAACCTGCTAAAACTTCTTTTCCCTTTGAATTGGTTCACTCCAATGTTTGGGGGCCATCTCATGTTCTTTCTGTTGAAGGTTACAAATATTATGCTCACTTCATTGATGACTTCACCAGGTTTACTTGGATTTTTCCTTTGAAATTGTTTGTCCCATTTTTGTGTCCTTATTTCATGTTTATTTTCTTTTTGTTTTTCCCCATTTATAGGTTTTTCGTAGCATATTTGGTCCATTTCGTTCATTTTGTGTTTTTCTCTTTAGTTTCTATTTGTGCGTCTTTTTGCCGTGTTTTGCTTCGTGTTTTTCCATGTTTGTGTTTTCAGGAGGTACCCAGAATTTTTCCCGACTCGCGACAATGTCGCGACCCGCGAGATTTTCAGAGCCTAAAGGTGCAGTTCGCGAGCTCGAGTCGCGACTCGCGAGAAGAAAGTCGCGACTCCCCCGAATTCTGAAGAAATTGACAACGCACGACTCGCGAGACAGTCGCGACTCCCGACCTGAAAAAGTGGAGAAGTCGCAAGTCGACGCAAAATTCGAGATGCGGGATTTTTAACTTGTTTTTAGACCTAGGGCATTCCATTCATTTCCAGACTTTGTTTTATGTTTTTTCTCTCTAGAAAACACATTCCTTTCTTTAGTTTTTCACTTTGAATTTGATTTAGAGATTGAAAACCTCCTTCTCTTGCTTTGGATTTGGATTGCATTTTACATTAATCGTAAGTTCTCTTTCTCAAATTGTTTATGATGATCATGGCTTGGGTTGACGTGAATTGTGATGTTGAATTCGTTATGAGT